AAGGCCTTAATAAAAATAAAGGTACTGCAGAGACTAATCACAGAAGATAATTTGTTGTAAAATTTACAGTTTTTTATAATTTTTTCTCCAAAAAATTGGAAAAAAAAAAAACCCAGAAGGTTCAATCTTGTCTAAATATGTCATATATGTATTACCTTAAATTTGTTGATAAAGCCCAGTGTTAGTGATGAGACTTTATTAGTCCTCTCCCTCATTTTAGCCTTGTGGGCATATTACCTAGAGAAGAAAAACTCCCTTTTTGGTTTGCTTACCTTTCTCTTTTCCACATCTTTCCAGATCCACGAGAACGTGTGAAAGAAGATGATTTAGATGTTGTTCTCAGTCCACAGAGACGGAGCTTTGGAGGGGGTTGCCATGTGACAGCTGCTGTTAGCTCTCGTCGCTCAGGAAGTCCATTGGAGAAAGACAGTGATGGGCTTCGCCTGCTGGGTGGACGAAGAATTGGCAGTGGGAGGATAATCTCTGCCCGGAACTTTGAAAAGGATCACCGTCTTAGTGATAAGGACCTGCGGGACTTGAGAGACAGAGACCGTGAAAGGGACTACAAGGACAAGCGTTTCAGGGTTTGTATTATTCTAGGTTCTTTGGTACTTCACATGATCGAGTTAATATTCACTGCATTTAAGTTTTGTACTTTGAAAACCTGGACACACCCCATTCTTACCAGACAAGGAGGCCAGGCTAGATGGTGTGTGCCCCAGCACTCAGGAGGCTGAGGCAGGAGGATTGCCACAAGTTTGAGGCCAGCCCAGGCAGTGTAGTGAACGCAAGGACAGCCTGAGCTACAGAGCAAGACCCTGTCTCAAAACAAAAACAAAAACAAAATCGAACCAGACAAGGAGAGCTGGGCAGGCTAAGGGGCATGGTGATAGGCTTCAAGTCTACAGCATAGTACTTTCATTTCATCATTGATTTTTACCTAACTCATTAATATCATGACTAAAATACAAATGGTTTGGCTAGAATTTTATTTACATTTTATCTTGTACTTTTCTAGAGGGAGTTTGGGGATAGTAAGCGTGTCTTTGGTGAGCGTAGAAGAAATGATTCATACACGGAAGAAGAACCAGAATGGTTCTCAGCTGGACCCACGAGTCAGTCTGAAACCATTGAACTGACTGGCTTTGATGACAAGATACTAGAAGAAGATCACAAAGGCAGAAAAAGAACAAGACGACGGACAGCCTCTATAAAAGAAGGTCAGCACAAACTTTGGAGGGGAAGCTCATTGGTTTAAAGTGACACAATGTGATTATCATTAGTTTAAGTGCACGCTGAGGAATGGGTATCAGTTACTAGGAAATAGTGTTTTGTTTTTTTTT